TCTATTGGTGTCCAAGCTTGGAAGCAAAGTTTTTACATAAGCAACATCATGGCAGGGAATGTACTCATTTAAATTCAATGGGCATACATTGATACCCGTCTCAGGGATCAATGGTGGTGTTTTTCTGTAAGTAAGAGCAATTGTATTCGTAAATGTTGAAGTACCTGCAACACCATTTATCACAAGTAGATTAAATTCCAAAAACCAATAGCATACAGAAACAAATATTTTTAGTTTACAACTAGACGCCATCTTTGAAATTACAGTGCTAACAATATTTGAGCTTTCTAGAAATTAAAAGCGATGCCTAGATTCCCTTTCTCTGTTTCTCAGGTATTCCCGATCTACTTTTAAAGATTAAAAATAAAAAGAAAAATGGCAGTACCACTGAGAGTCCCAATCAAATATTTTCACCATAAATTTGGGAAATTGGCTATTAGAATGATCCGAAACCAAACCCCAACTGTTGAACTGATCAAATTTAAACATCGACGACATAGCGAAATTTGACATGCTGTAACATCGTATACATCAAACCAAAACATTTTGTCACTTCCCATCTAGATGATTAACTTTGAAATCCAAATTAAACATGCTGTAACATTATGTACATCAATTTGCAGAAAACATAAATAGAAACCAAAAAACAAACGGTCTATAAATAGATGGTAAAAAAAATAACACATTTACTAAGAATCGCCACAAATATTTGATTCAAGCTAACCTTTTTATCCCGCAAACAAAAATTTCAAATACAATGCATTCTTAAATCTGACTTGGGCTGCAAAACAAGCTCGTACATACATATATGGAGAGAGAGAGAGAGAACAAACCAGGGGACGGAGGAGAACTGGAGGAGCTTAGTTGAGATGCATAAATGGTAGCATTGTTGGCATATAGACTTCCAGCATAGAAGCAACCAACCATCAGCAGCAGACCCACCATTATCATCTGCCCCAATTTCCATTCAAACGCCTGCCCACCTCCCATTTCCTCAATTCCCCAACTGGGTCACTTCCAATTTCCCACCAACCAAACAGATCCACTGAGAATTTCAGGATGTGAGAGAAAGAGAAGAGAGAAGGAGAGGACGACGTTGGAGAGATTTGCTTCTTGTGTACTGTAGAAGTCCAAACAGATTCTTTCCCACAAAAAAAATTGTCCGAACGGATTGACCTCACGTGGTAAGTCTTCACGACGCACGTGACCCTGGCTAAGAATTAAATGGAGAAATTTCTAAATTGATAGATTTTTGTATTTTTAACGATGAATTAGGATACTTTTATACTTACAAATCCAGATGGTTGAGAATTATAACTAATAACTCTCACTTAACCAATTGGCAACAAGATTAAATTTTTTTCCCTTAATTAATCTACAACTGAAAATGTCTTAACAAATATTTGAACTCGTTAACTACCTTGATTATAATTAGTAACTTTTTACTTAAACACATTAACAAATCTGTCAACTATTACCCTACCCAAAAATTGCACTTTGCTAACTTTTTTGTCTCACTTTCATGCCTAAATTTTGATTTTTATGTTACTTTGATACATTCATTAGCACGTCTGTTAAGTCATACGTTAACTGATGACGTGACATATCTTTGAACCATCAAACTTGCATGTGAAGTAAAATATTAAATAATAATTAACTAATAATTTAAAAATAAAAAATAAATTCCACCTTTTCCTCTCATCTTCTTCTCCCCCCCTCCCCCAAAAAAAAAAAAACCCCTAATTCCTTCTTGAGAAATTAGCTAAAGGACTTCAAACTTTAGTTGCTAAAATGGAAAGATAGACGCTCTATCTGGATATTCCTTAATGTCTCGGCTACTCAGGGAATGTGCAAATCAAATGAATAAGCATTTGCCTCTCTATTTTTTATTGACAAAAATAGATTCATCTTTTCATTCCAATTGATTCAAGTATGGGAGAAAGAACTAATGTCATGTCCCGGTATATAGATTGAAATACCATAAATGATGTTTTTCATAGAAATAGGAATACACAAGTGACATGGGTGAAAGGATGGAAATGCTTAAAGTACCTTGTATAAATATGGTAGGGTGAATTACCAATTTAGTCCTTGAATTATTACCTAAGTGAAAGTTAGGTTCCTAAACTATTTTTTCATAAAATCAACCATTGAATTTTAAAAATCTTCCAATCACATCCCTAATATTAGATTCAAAACTAGTATATTCAATTTTCCTTCAATTTAAGTCACGTTACTTGCATGTGATACACATTGGAGGGTAGATTGGTAATTTTTCATAAAGAAATAGCGTATGGAGTTAATTTTAGAGGGTAAATTAGACGTTAGATTCATAACCTGTATGAATGTTAAGGGTTTAGAGGTGAGAAAATGACAGTGTTACACTCTAAAATATGTCAAGTGCTTTAAGTTGACAAAAAATTGGAAAAATTAGTTGTGAATATAATAGTAGGGATGAAATTAACAATTATAATTGAATTTAAGGACTTGACTTTTTTTACTAAAAGAAATAATTCAGGGACCTAATTTTCACTGAGGTGATAGTTCAAGGACTAAATTGGCACTTCAACCAATATAGTATAGAGAAGTGTAGATATTGTTGGTACGATGTCTATACTATCGAGATAGTGTAGATATTGGTGATACGATGTCCATATTGACATTCATTTATAGATATAATATCGTAGATATTTTGAGTATATCGTCTATATGTTCAAAATAACATTTCGGGCATATATATATATATATATATATATATATATTAGTACAATGATATATTTTATATTAAGAGAATGGGGAGTTTGTTTAAGCCACACAATAGACAATCTAATTTGGTATTGAATTCGACACCTATGAGTCCAATTAGATATTTTTATCGGTGTATCTGATCAACAAAAAAAAAGTAGGAAATTCAAACAAAAAACACGCTTGCTCACTCATAAATTAAAGATTTTTTTACACTTTTACTGACTAATAGTAACAGGATATTAGAGATTTTCGATAGAAAGACAATCAACAAGAAGGAATCATTGATGCACCTTTAGTTTAGTAGCCACTGTAGTGCTCTGGCGGCTCAGCACAAAGGTGCTTATGAGACGCTACAGGGTCTTTCAATGCATTGTCATCAAAGACCCTCGCTTCCCATAAAGTAGTTCTTTACTTACCGTTCATGTGCCACAACTGTACCCCATTTACTCAATGAAAACGCGGAAAGGGTAGTTTACTTGCTATTGTGCAGCTAAGCAAGAAAGTCAATGAAATTGAAACAAAGCATAGAGTACAAAGATGTATTTACATTAAGGGGAGGGCATATATATTTCCTAAACTATCTACTTAAACCATATTTTGTACACCACATCGGTCACCACCAAAAATATTCCCTTAAAAATATTAGCCTTTAAAAATAGGAAAAACTGTCCAAATTAAAATTATGTTCACATTCCTCTTTTTTTTCAACTCTATTGATTGAAACCTTATTCCTTTTCAAATTTTCATCAAGGTCCCTCGGTTTTAATAAACGTTATTAATTATTTCAATAATAAAATATTTTACATGTCAAGATAATTAAATTTTATTTCCAAATATATTCATTTAGTGTTAGAAACGTTACATTTAATATATATATATATATATATATATATATGGCTTAATTTTGTATCATATATTTACTTTGTACCCATTTTAATTTGCAACCCTTTTTTTTATAAATTGTACCAATTTTCTTTTCAATTTTAGTTTGTATACATATATTAATTTCTTTTTGTGTACATATTTTTCAAACTTTTATTTGTACTCATTTTTTTAACCTTTTATTTGCATAAATAATGTAACATTCCACATCGTCCAGGGAAGTGGATCCTGTAAATCTTATATGTATATTCCTATCTCTACCTAGCACTAGGCCTTTTGGAAGCTCACTGGCTTTGGGTTCCATTGTAACTCTGAAATTAAGCGAGTTCACGCAAGAGCAATCCTAGGATGGGTGACCTACTGGGAAGTTCTCGTGTGAGTTCCCAGAAATAAAACCATGAGGGCGTGGTCGTGGTTGTGGTTGGGACCCAAAGCGGACAATATCGTACTATGGTGGAGTCGTTTCCGAGATGTAGTGAGAGCCCAGGCGGGGATGTGATAAATAATTTACTAATAATGTATCCATTTGTCTTTAAAAATGTATCAGTTTGTTATATATATATAAATGTACCTTTTTTTTTTTTTTTTTTTTTAAGTACCCTATTTTATGTAAAATGTACCCGTTTTCTAATGTAAGACCTATTTTTTTTTTAATCTAAAATGTACCAATTGTTCTTTTATATAAAATGTATCCATTTTTTTTAAACAAAATGTACCCATTTTTTTTATATAAAATGTACCACCTTTTTTATATAAAAGGTACCAAGTTTTTGTATGTAAAATGTAGTGTATAACAATTTCTAATTTCTTGTATGTAAAATGTCAATAATTTAAGTAATGGCAAATCATAGGTTTTATTTAAATATAATTTATCTTAATGACAAATCATGTCATTAGAATAAACTATACTTTTTTATATAAGTATAATTTATTTTTTAATATTTTTAATCCCACAAATCTTTAATTTTATTTAAAATCTGATTAATATAAGTAACTACAAATATCAAATTTTAATTTAAACTTATAATAACTTACATAGAAATGCATTATTGCATTAATTTTAAATGTTTTAATTAAAAACTAAATACTAACAAAATTTCAGTCAAGGATAATTGATAAATAGAGATGGTATCCAAAGTTACACAACGCCCAATTTTAAAAATTAAAAAAAATTAAAAAATAAAACCCAGCGTTGCAGACAAAACCCCCGAGCTTAAACCCTAACACTTGCCCATCCGGACGCAGTTAACAAATTCCAAAATCTCTCCGGCCTCAACCGTCTAATGCTGCCGCAGGATCTTCTTCAACCTCTCACCAATGTCCTTCCCCTTCCCCTTCCCCTCTTGGTACGTCTCTGAATCTCTCTCCCCGTCTCTTCTGCAACTGGTGGCTCCACTTTTTGTTTTTTGGCATGCTCGGTGATTGATTTTGATTCCTTTTAATTCTATGGTGTTAGTTTTCTGGGTCACTGAAATATTAGGGTTTGAATTTGGAAGAATTAGATTACGAATCGCCAGTTAGGGCTACACTTTAGGATTCTGGGGGCTGTTCTTGTGGATATTTCCTGCAGAAATTCTAGTTTCTCTGAAATTCACAGCCACTGTCGCCGTTACAAGGAAGATACGCGCCTCAACCCCCCACCCCCTTTTATCTATGTTGAGAATTATCAGCGATTTTGTGGATAATCGTGTTCGTGTATGCATGAGTTTACATTTCTTATACTGACACACTGGTTCGTTGTGTAGCAATTGGTATGTCTTTGGTCTTACTTGTATTTGTTTTCCATGAGCTGTGATATTTGCTTCTTGCTTGCCCTTTTTGTTCACCTGTCAATACACAAGAATTGCAAGTATGAAGCATCACATTCGTAGGTTTTATTGGGATTGCCGGAAAATAAAAATGTTTTCTTGTTACAGATTCTACTAGTCGGAGAAGCTACAGCAACTAGTTCTTTTCAGTTCTGGCTCCTATTATGCTTGCCAACCGCAGACAAGTTCTCAACCCTTCTCGTTGCTCTATGAGATTTGCTTCTTCTGAAGGTTATTCTGTTCTTAATTCAAGTGGTCTTCAGCACTGGTTCAAAAATTGGCAAGGACTCAGAAAAAATAAACTGACAGCAAGCACTTTTGCTGCGGCGGTTGGTTTTTTTCATCGCAGAAGACGCCAGCTTTGGCTAGAGAAGATTGGAGCCCTGGAACCATTTTCGGGTAATTTGGCTACCTGTTGGAGCAATATCAAAGAAGAGGAAGCACTTGAAAGATACAAGCTGATAACAGGAAATTCTGTTTTGTTTCCTGAATTTCAAGTTTATGGTAATAGGAATGTTGGAGAGGATTGGCTGGGAGCTTCACCGGATGGGGTGATTGATATGCTGGTATACGGATTGCCTTCACGAGGAGTACTGGAGATTAAGTGTCCATTTTTTGATGGAAATATGAAGAAGGCTACCCCTTGGTCACGAATTCCTCTATACTGTGTTCCACAGGCTCAGGGTTTAATGGAAATACTTGACAGGGATTGGATGGATTTCTATGTTTGGACTCCTAAAGGGAGCAGCCTATTCAGGGTATATCGGGATGCAGAATACTGGGATGTTCTGAAAATAGTTCTCTCGGATTTTTGGTGGAATCATGTCCAGCCAGCGAGGGAGATCTTGAGCAAGTCTCAGATTAGAGATCCCCTCGTTGAATTAAAATGGCTCAAGCCAGCACCCAGGCATGAACTGTGTAGTTATGTAGTTTATGAAAGCAAACGCGTTGTTGATAACTCCAAGTTATTGATGCGTGAAATCAATGGCAAACTGGTAAACTGATTCATCTATAACCACAGTATAGGCACTTCAGCTTACTGATTCGTGAAATCAATGGCACATCAAGTAGCTGGAATGTGACTTTGATGAGTTGAGTAAATGATTTTATGTCCGTTGTTTTCTTTTGTATTAATTGCGTTCAAATTTCTTCTTCATCATATATGTCCTTCCCAAGACTCTATTCACTTTGTAATTACATTGCTGTAGAGTATTGTTGTTGATGGGGTTTGCACAAATCATATTGGTTTCGTAGTTTTACTTGTAGGAAAATTTAATTAGACAGATCTAAGTAGTACATAAGTCTCAGCCGAGGATTGGTCGAACAATGCATTTTTCTATTAAAGTTTAAGTCTTCATGAAAGTCTCGTTTAAATTTAGCATGTGATCCTGAACTAGGTCTCTTGGTATTTTTTATTTGTTCTTGCAGAAGATTTTACTGGAGTTGGATTTTACATTATCTCAAAGGCAAGTAGAAGGCTGTAAAGACAGTCTCAATTATTTCAGGTACAGTATCTTTATTTTACTAATTTAAAGAAATGAATGATGCTATTGATCGACTCAGAAATACATAAAGCCTTACATAATTTTGCTCATCTGTTCTTTTGGATTGAAAGTAGTGGTTGGGAGTGCTCTCTACTTTAATTTAGTATCCAAGGATCTTCTGCGTATGAACGGATCGCAGAAATATGACAGATAGCTAGCTAGTAGGTTATGCAGAGGTATTTGCTAGAAATCCCTTATCGAATTGAGGTATCCATCAATTTCCCCCCTGAACTTGTGACCATTGGCCAATTTCCCCCCTCAACTTTAATTTTGGCCAATTTCCCCCCTCAACTCTCATAATTAGTCAATTTCCCCCCTCAACTCTCAAAATTAGTCAATTTGCACCCTATTGTTAATTTTTTTTTTTTTAATTTTCTATCTATTCTTTTCTTAATTTTCAATCTTTCTAATAACTTCCAACAAAGTACTAAAATTAACATAAACTCACCCGCATAATATAGGGTAAAATGTACAAAAACATAATACAGTTAGTATGTGATATGGGTTGATTATAAGAAAAAGTTATTAATCGGGTTTAAAGCATGTAGAAGAAGAAATAATAAAAAAAAGAAATAATAATCCTAAACTCATGGATCAGACCTATTTCAATAAAATGGTTATTCTTAATAAGGAGTCAAAAATTATGAATAGATTAGCCATTTTTTCACTAAAGCTCGATTCTCTGCAATTTACTTGAACTTAGCTTTCACTTTTATAAAGAAAATTGTATTCACATACAAAAATTTACACATCAATCCTTTTTGTTATCAATTTTGTATAGTCAAAAATCAAATAAAATTACTCCATACTGATTTATTATGACTAATAATACTATCTATGATAAATTGTAAAATTCTAAATTTTAATCTATTTGTAATAGGATAAAGATATAGGAACATGATTAACATACATCTTATTTAGTTTCTTACACACACTTGTTTAATTATGATCAAATTAAAAAATTATCAGTAGGGTGCAAATTGACTAATTATAAGAGTTGAGGGGGGGAAATTGGCTAAATTAAAGTTGAGGGGGGAAATTGACTAATTATGAGAGTTGAGGGGGGAAATTGGCCAAAATTAAAGTTGAGGGGAGAAATTGGCTAATGGTCACAAGTTCAGGGGGGAAATTGATGAATACCTCTATCGAATTTGAAGGGGTTGAAATGTGTCCTAAAAGTCCGCAAGTAATGTACGAATGAATAAGGTCATTTGCAAAACAATCTGTGATTTGTTTAAGCTAGTCAATCTGTGATTTGTCGCTTCCTTGGCTGATCAGATTCAAGAAACTTAAATTTATAGTTACTCGTTTTTGAGAGGTGAATCTATAAATTATCGTTAGTTTTTTCATCATATTCGAGCTCTCGTTTTTCCTCACTATGTTCGAATGGCATTGTGCGGGCTGGGCATCTTCTGCTTCGGGTCTTTTGAGTTGGTGATTGTCATCAAATTGTTATTTGAATTAAATTCTGTTGGAATTATATGTTGATACTTCTTTCAGTCTTGGTTGTCCTGATATCTGAATGCAATGATTAAATTGTTTTGCAGATACTACCAGGTCTAGGTGTTCGAACAACGAAGCGGATAACGAACAATCCTTCATACAGATGACTTGCTTACACGAAAGGGAAGTGTTATTGGCACTTCAAAAATCTCATTTTACACTTTTCACAAGTGTATTTTTCTTTCCAAATATAGAAAGTTTGGAGTGTAATGAGATTTTTAGAGTGTCAATAACAATTCCTAGACAAAATTATTGAACCATTTGTAAGTACAGATTTCCGTGGCAAGCTTAGCGTTTGATTGCTGGTTTCCTGTATTTTGTCTATACGACTGGTATCAGACTATGCCAAGTACAAGAGACGCATGTGAATGTTTTTGGTTTACACGAGTGTGTGTTACACATGATGATTACCATCTCTTCGATACACTTGGTCTATTTTATAGTCTTAATTTCTACGTTGACGGTATTCAAATGAGTAATGATTTCCGCACTCCTTTTCCTCTTCTCTGATTGGCATAACCCAACGCCAATGGAGGTAACAAAAAGACCGAGTACGGAAATCACTCCCTCATTCAAATTTCTACTTAGCGTTTTATTTGGGGAACGTAAATGAGACCGCATGTAAGGAAATGTATGTGCCAAGGGATACCTGCATCTTCATTCCTACCACCCTATTTTGATAAGTCGTCCACGCCGCCACATCACCATCTCCGTCACCACCATCGTCCCCACTTCTATGTTTACTAAACTTCCACCACCACCACCACCACCTCGTGTTTCCGAGACATGAACACGTCGGTTTACCAGCCGGAGATTCAGAGTTATTCAGATTTATGACTTGGCTTAAATTTGTACGTGACATTTTTTATGTTCTCGGAGGAATGCTATTACGATATGTCGACCTGTATTAGGTGTTTAGTTCAAGCACCTTGCTCTAACTCTGAGATGGTTTTGAGTTAGGCATGAAAGGAGACGAGCTTGCCTGAGAGATCAAGGACGATGGCTGTGATCCATCTCTTGCAGTTTCAGATGCTCAACTTGAGCATGACGTTCGAGCGATTTCATATTTCTGTCTCAACGACGATGCTCATCATGCCAGCAGCCTCCAGTAATGGCGAACTTGATCCGCCAACGGACAGCCTCCGAAGCAAACTGCTCTTGAGTATCACTTGCTACTAACGTGCTTATGACGGGCAGAAAGGAACTTCAAATACTTCATGAATCGCGGCTTATTACAAATCCCTGTTTCACATCAGATGGAATTCGCCGTTCTTTAGCAACTAAAATAGAAAAGGCTGTATCACATTGAGAACCTGTAGCCGCTTGTTTTCCTACTTAAGCATCCAAACTTAATGAATCGCAACCCACTTGATGGCGTGAGATCGATCTCCAAAAGCCAGAAACAAACCCAAAAGGCCTTCCCCTTCTTGTGCCTTGCCATCTTAAAACTCACTTGGCACTTATCTTCTCAAGTTCGGACTAACCACTTGGATGTTGCTACCGTGCTGCTATCGCTGCAAAGCAAAGTCCTGATAGTATCACAAACCATTGTCCCTTAGAGTAGGCAGCTATATCCGTCAATTAACATGTCAACTTAGCTGATCAGCAACTTCAAATCAATCCCTATTGCATCCTGCATAGACATTCCAATACTTCATAAATTTCCTCCACTTGATGGTGCGATCTATCTCCCGAAACAAACCCATAAATTCTTCCTTCAGCCTCAATGCAGCTCCACCCTGGCATCTTCTTTAGATCCATCTCGCTCATAACTCTCCTCGTCTCTTCTACTTCATCCCACTGTCCAACACTAGCTTGTGTGTTACTCAACAGAGTATAGTACCCAGCGTTATCAGGTTCTAGTTCCAAGAGCCTCTGAGCAGCATACTCCCCAACATCTCTGAGACTGTAAATTCTACATCCTGAAAGAAGAGCACCCCAAATCCTACTATCCGGAAAAGTCATCATTTTCATAATGACAGCTAAGGCCTCTTTAAGCTTCCCAGATCGACCCAAGAGATCGACAATGCTAGTGTAATGGTCTAAATCAGGTTCGATACCAAACTTCCATTTCATGGAATAAAAAGCATCACAACCTTCAGTCACAAGACCGGAATGGCTACAAGCAGATAACAAGCTTATGAAGGTGACACTATTTGGTCTTATTCCTTCTCTAATCATCAGGTCAAAAAGTTTCAAGGCTTCAAAACCAAGTCCGTGGCTCCCATAGCCCTCAATCATTGATGTCCAAGTCACTATATCTTTGACCAACATTCTATCAAAACACACTCTAGCTGCAGATAGGCTACCACATCTTATGTACATGTTTATTATGGAGGTTTCGAGATGAGTATAGCTTTCATCGCCTTCATACAATGATTTCCTTATGATATAGCCATGAATTTGTTTTCCCAACTTCAAAGCACCTAGGTTTGCAAATGCATCAACGAGGCTTCTTAGTATCTCAGCCCTTGGTTCTGGACCCGAAGCTTGCATTTCGCGTAACAGTCCAACAGCTTCATTAAACCAACCATTTTGAATGAAGCCAAACATCATTGCACCCCAAGTAATGGTGTTCCTGTGAGGGATTTCTCTGAACAGCCTATCTGAGATTCCCAATTCTCCACACTTGGCATAGAGGTCTAACAAAGATGTCTGCAAAACGTGATCACAAAGCCCACGTTTTATCGCCAAACAATGCAAGCTTTCACCTTGGGAAAGAATCCCATGTTTGGCCAATGCTGATATAACCAAAGTTAATGTCTCAACGCCCGGCGCCACTTTGCCCTGCATATCATTGAACAACTCTCTTACTTTCGCAACATCCCCTCTCGAAGAAAAAATGGAAATGCAGATATTCCAGGAGACGACATCCCTTCTATCAAGTTCGCTGAAAAAGCCTTCAACTTCGTTGATTGTACCTAATTTAGCATACATTCTCAAGATTGAGTTCTGCACGGATGCATCATACAGCAAACCATTCTTAATCACATAACCATGAAATTGACTTCCACATATTGCACTTTCAGTGCCACAACATCCTTGCAACATGATCAACATAGTAACGGAATTCGGTTCCAACTCCAACCTCATTTCATTGAACAAGCTCAACCCACAGGCAACATTCCCCTCCGAAACATACCCGGAAATCATCGATGTCCAAGAAACCAAATCTCTTTGACACATTTCATCAAACAACATACGAGCATGATCAATTGCTCCGCATTTCACATAAAAATCAATCATTGTATTACCAAAATACACATCCATTCCAAAACCCATTTGAATTGCCACACAGTGAACCATTCCTGCATACCCAACTTCACCCCCAAGCAACATAACCACCCTGTTTACAATCGGGAACGTAAAGCAATCATGCGAAACACCCAACTCACGCATCTTCTTGTACAGCAACAGAGCCGAATCAACAAGACCGCATTCGACATGGGACTTCATCATTAAATTCCACAGCATGGTATTTGGTTCTCGAATCGAACCGAAAACCGAAACGGCGCTGCCGAGGTCATCGAAACGAGCGTACAGAGTGAATAACTTTGAAAAATGGGAAGAGGGCTGGATCCCAGTTGAGACCAGGATACGAGCGTGGACCTGTTTCAGGGTCTGGAGGTTCTGGCATGAATGCAGCAGCACCGAGCTTGACGAAGAAGAAAAAGAAGAAGGAGAGGGGGCGATGTGGTGGTAGTGGGATTTCAAGTGATGGGTTCGAAGTAGCAGAGCAAGCTTGGAGTGGAGAGACGAGAACTCGAAACGTTGGAAAACATGGAAACGGGAAGAAATCTTGAAAGATTAAGACGAAGACTTGAAATCTGGAAAAGCTAGAGAGACTGTATTCTCAGTTTTGTGCACAGAGGAGGTTCAAATCAGTGAGCGAATGAATAAAACTTAGTGCCAAAGGGTCCCACATCGACCAGTCGCAAGGAAATGATGCAGTTTATATAGCTTGACTTGTCCACACGTGTCACGACCTCACTTGAACATTATCTGTTTTATGGGATTGTACTTCTGTATCCTTGATCTCTAAGAAGACAAAAACCCTAACCTGGTGGATGAATCATGACCGTCTGATAAAAGCGTGATTAACAGATGATGGTTCTTTGGTTCCATCAAGCGGTAGAGGATCGTCCTCAGTCGGTTCGACTGGCTGGGGTGGTCGCAATACAGGTTTACCTTTTGCATTTTTTTTTTAATTTAATTTCTTATTAGCTGGATTGAAAATTGTATGACCAAGTCTTGTATGGTGCATGTCTAAGAACCAAGAAATGATATATATACTATTTGAGGTATTTGTATATAAACTCATCAATCCTCATGATAATTTAATTTCTTATTAGCTGGATTGAAAATTGTATGACCAAGTCTTGTATGGTACATGTCTAAGAACCAAGAAATGATATATATACTATTTGAGGTATTTGTATATAAACTCATCAATCCTCATGATAAAAGTGTTGTATGCTCGTTATTCACAAAGCGTTTATGCGCAATTTATCTGAGAAGTGGATGATTGACCAACTCAAATCATTTATGAATAATCATATATCAGTGCTAGACTTGGAGTCTAAAGAAGTTCTTGACATTCATAAAACATCATTTTGATTATTATATCACCATAGGATTGACATAAGATCCTTCGTGGAAAAATGTTTGTTCAAGGTGCAAGAAATTTCATGGCTACTCACGGTTGAAATATGTTCTCAATAGAGTGATGAAAATGTACTTGCATCTACTTTATATGAAATTGAAACAAGCCACCTACTTGTGAAAACATAGGCAAAAAAAACTATTTTGGAGGTGTTTTGCATTAACTAGAGAGATTTTATGTGAGTCTGCCCTACTCTATGCAAAAGAAGTTCCTAAATTGGGGGGACCCAAATTTGTTCATGATTACTTGCAATTGTGCAAAATGATGAGTCTTAAGATGTAGCCTTAGAGGTAGTTGTGATATATGTCATACTTTTAGACATAAGAGACTTAGAGCCGTAAAGAAGTTCTTGACATTCATAAACTCCTATGATACTTGCAAAAGGTTTAAAAACTCCTATGATACTTGCAAGAATGACAAGGTTATTGTAGTATAAATGGTTATCGTAAGGTTGTTCTCCACCAGGATTATTAAATAAATTGAAGCAAACCAAATTCCAATTAATTATTGTAACGCAGAAATTGAGATGATTGATTTTTATGACCTAATTTAATAAAATGAATTTAATTAATAAAAGTAAACTAATATGCAACATTAAGGTGAAGAAAAAAGAAACAGTTTTGTGGAAATCAAATTAAGAACACACTAGGATCCGCCGTCACCTTAACAATCCTATATAGTTCTCTCAATTACTTATGACTTATACTTGCATATTTGAAGGTTAGGTTTTCCTAATATATGCCTACTTGGACCCCCAACATAGAGCGTATATCAAACATGCAATCCATCTGTGGTATTCAGATCAAATTTAAACATGCATGACTCATTAAGTTATGTGAAACCTTTTGAAAAACCATGCAACCCTTAAGACGTGGTATTCATCCTAAGTGAACTTGCACATATTAATCACAAAAAGCTTTCATCAATTTCAGGACTGACCTCCGACCAAAATTGCATCGAATTACTTTTCTAAACATCCTAATGATGATCAAGCATCAAGACAATTAGATAGTTAAAACCAGTGATCAATAATTCGAAAACCTGCATACATATAATCATAAGCAAATTGAAGAGAAAATACATATTCTTACTAAGACTCGTGGCCTCACCCTAGCAAAAAGAGAATTAGTTACGCATATTCATAATAGAAATCACAAAGTTCTTTATTGAATTAACAAAAGAACGAAAACACCTTGAATGGAAAAAGTCTAAAAATCTATACACTTGGCCAATTTCCTCTCTTCAAGAATGCACGGAGAAGAAGTTGATGCTAGGAATAGGGTGGCCAAGCTTATTTAACCTAGAAATTAAATTCTCTTAATAAAAGGTCTTTCAATCGAACTAGGAAACTAACTAAATAAAATAAAATAGGAAACATAACCCTAAATTAAATGGTAAAACTTGCCTAAAATCTGAACAGTCACGTTTTAGACCCCTAAGCTGCTCCAAAACTAGCCCAATATAGCTAGATTTAAGGTTTGGAATATTCTAAACACTTATCCAGAAAGCCACAAACCCAACAGAGGTCATCTTGGGCTCCACAAACGCAATTTAAGCCCAAAAACGTCATTTTCCAACATTGCGCACTGCTCCTTTATTCCGTTGCCAGAAAATAACCGCTTGGTAGAAAAATCCCAAATTTTGATACGAACACGCCAAGAGGCACACGAACGTCCCCCACCTTAAATCATTGCTAAATTCATCCGTTTGATCATGTTTTGCTTCAGAGGAAGTCAAATGTCCTATATTAGAAATATAAACCAAAGTATCAAAATTCTACCAAAATAATTACCAAAACATACTAAGAATAGGGTAAAATATATAATATGAAATTGACTCATCAAAAAGCTCGCTACATGGGTGCTCCTTAAGCTCACTACATGGGTGATGAAAATATGTTCTCAATAGAGTGATGAAAATGTACTTGCATTTACTTTATATGAAATCGAAAGAAGCCACCTACTTGTGAAAACATAGGTGCTCCTTAAGAAAAAAACTATTTTGGAGGTGTTTTGCATTAACTAGAGAGATTGTTATGTGAGTCTGCCCTAATCTATGCAAAAGAAATCCCTAAATTGGGGAGGGGGGAGGGACCCAAATTTGTTCATGATTACTTGCAATTGTGCAAAATAATGAGTCTTAATATGTAGCCCTAGAGGTAGTTGTGATATATGTCATACTTTTAGACATAAGAGCTACAAAAGACTCATTATATTAACATTTTTATAGAACGTTATGATGCACATTTATACGACTATCACCAAGATACAGTTGGTTTCACTTCCATGATATGATTCGCCTTGGCACTCAAGTAGCCAGTGTGATGAGAAATATGTGTTTGAAACGCCTTGGCACTCACATACAAAACGTACACTAGATATACATATATCATATATGTCTCCTTAAAAGTGTCTAAGATGAGACCTAACAAAGGTCAAACCGGGAGATTTTTTCATTAAAGTTCATGTTAAAGCTTATCAAGTTGGATGTGAATAACTAGGTAGGCATCATGAGAGAGAATAGGTTTGATGCTCAAATTAGGCATTTGTTTAGCACTTAGACTAAGATCCATATGGTGTATGTCAAGTGGCCATGTGACACGTTCATTAAAATGAGAATACACTATATCATACATTCCATACTATATGTGCTAACTGCAGCTGATAGTTGGATGACAAATTGGTCCCTCTTCAAGTCAGTGTGTGAGCCCCTAGATCTATATGATCCTACACTTATACCCTTTAGAGTTTAGACTAAAGCCTATGTTAGAAGAAGAGATTTAATGATCGATACTTTAGCACGTTTATCTAAGACGGTCAAGTTAGCTACTATCTCTAGAGGCATGTCTAGGCAAGCAGTAAAACCATATTAGATTGACATGAGAGCTTAGGGAATATAGTTTGAAGACTACACTATGTCATGACTTTAAATTTGGAGATTTGTGAAGTGGATATACACATTTGGAAATATTTTTCTGTCGCCCTCAAATGACGGTGATGCTTACAACCTTATTTATCACAGTTAAATGATTTAAGTTTCGAAATTTGTATAGTATATAAACACAAACATAAAAAAAATTAAACTCACTCAATAGTAGTAAGTAAGGTGGTAAATATTACCACCTACTTTAGGGTGAGGAAAAATGCACCCTACTCGTTTAATTCTAAAGCTCGATAGTTTCAATACTATCAACCCTTCCTGTTTAGATTGGAAATAAATATTTGGGCCTATCACATGGCCCAATCTATTTATTTCATGTACAAAGATTTGGGCCTTTAATAATGAAGAAGAATGAATAGTGCAAGGCTCAAGGGCTTTGTTTTATTCAGCACGTGATAGATACGTAACATCTAATTTGAACTTCTTAACTGATAAGTGAGAGGTCTTAAGTATGATTCTTATTAAAGACGAATTTAAACCTCATTATTGCTAGCTCATTGTGAAGCTTAGCCCACTTCCTCACTCTCTTAGTGAGATGATACCGTTTGTTAAAAAAAAAGAAAAAAAAAACTCATATTTGAATGCCTTTCTCCTTTCCTCATCAAAATTTTCATGGTTATAAAAATGGAAAAATTATATATACCATATAAAAATTAACCTTGTGAAGATGTTCACAGAATCAAATGACTAAGAAAGGACATATGGTAAAATGGAAATTAATTTTGAGAATAAAAATCCACTAACATAGAGCCATAATATGAAAAATAAATAAAATCGTCTCTTAGAGCAATTTCACCCGCACCTTTGTGCAAGGACAAGGACGATAAAATTGCCCGACGTCAACCATACTTACTGCTCTTTTTTTTTTCTTTTTTTTTTTTGCGCGTGGCTCGTGCAATGCACACATAATCTGGGCTAGTTAAACCCAGCTCCTAAGTTGTCATTGGGCTTGTGGCTGAAAAATAGTAGCAACCCATTTGGCAAGCCACGGTGCCCGTTATTCCTGCTATTTGACCTTCATCGATTAAGCGACTAAACGGTTTTTATTTTTTATATAAATACCCAACTATCATTTTAACTCTCGTACCAAAATCTAACACCTTCGTTAATTATTAAATATCTTAATTATACTTAAAAAAAATATATATATATATATTTGTGAATAGTAATCTCAATAGTAAATGCAAAACGATTGAAGCTGTACAAAAACAATTACCTTTCAGAATGAATAGTAACTGCCATTAGGCTGCTCTGGTTGGTGTCCTTACCCATCGGGTGAAATTGCTCTTATGGACAACAAATTTGACTCCAAATGTTATTGCATTTCAATTACATCAAATAAGAGTCAAATATAACTTTTGGAATTAATTGCATGATTATATATGACTCGAGTTAAATCAGAACCAAATATAACTTTACAATTAAACTTTTGAGTCATATATGACTCAAACTTTTCTCATGCATTTGAGAGAAATTTAATAAACTTTTGAGTCATATATGACTCAAACTTTTCTCACTGCATTTGAGAGAAATTCAATTAAACTTAAAAGTCAAAAGTTATACTTGGCTTCAATTTTCATAT